GAGAAAGCGCATTTCAGGGACGGATGATCGTAGGTAGGATCTGACAAGCAAGGTACGGCTACCGCTTCCGGCAGAGAGCAACTCTTTCAAAAACAACTGTTCGTTAAAGCGGCCGAAATCATAAGCCCGAGAAGTCGCCCCGCTGCCACTCTGCTCTATCGTACGACTGCTCTCCGATCTCGTATAGCTTTTGACATGTTTAAGGCCTTGTTCACCGGACATTGACAAGGCTCAGCCCGGTTGTGATCATTCGGGGCGACAATCTCGACAACATCGTGTCCCTAGGGTCAGCTAGCAATCCTGCAGACGTGTCCTGACAAAATTCACGACTGTCACTGGGCTGTCACTTTGCAGAGCAATGGCTCTTCGAATAGGCAACGACGACGGACGACTGGCACACTGGAGATGGGAGGGTATCAGGCAATGCGTTCTGTGACGTCTTCCATGCCTATGGAGTCTAGCACACCCTGATTGAGACCCGATAGGCGATGCGCCCAAAGGAAGATACCGTCCAAACCCCCACTCGCCACAGACTAGTAAGCTGCCTTCAGCCCTTGTCTGCCCTGTTCGAACAGTAGAACCGGAGCATGGGTCAGCGGGACTACGTGTGAGACAATTGGCACGAATTCTGCTAACGATTACTATATGTGGCCACTCAGATACTTCCACAGGGAAATCCCTTCTACAGATGGCTGTTCTGTGTCAGTTAATCGCGTCAGCTTCATTCCATGGTCCCACGCCACCACCATCACACCGCGACCGAGCCCACAACGGCAAAATCCTGTGAACAGCACACGCTTCATCCGGTGGTTGGACACGATGGCTGTCTCGTTGACGGACAAAGATGGATGCAATAGGCACAAGGCTTCACGCTCTTAGAAGTCGAGGCGGAACGCAGCCGAACGAAGTGACGAGGAACACTATTTGCTCTTGCTTGATCGCAATCTGTACATGCGGCCTGCAACATCTTCAGCAAAGTGCCATCACAAATTCGCCACGAGCGGCATTCCGAGCACGAACCGTGGATCTCGCGTGCCACGTCAACCGTCCTTGTCAATGCGCGTTCGCCGTTGTTGATCGCGGCAAAATGCATGCAGCGCATCATATGCAGGTCTTGCTAAGACCCAGTACCTGCTCTAGTCTTACCAACTTCTTCCACAAACGCACCTTCACAAATGGTTCTGTGAAAAAGTGAGGCTTCGTAATTTCCGAAGTCGTAACCCTGTTTGCCGATCCGATTACGCCCTAAGCCGGGACGGACACCACGATGTACTCCTGCCGACTGCGCGGCGTTCGGTAACACCAGTCGACACGGCATGCGTGAATGACATGAGTGAATGAGATTTTTGGAAGCAAGGCGACCAATAGAAGTTGTGGTAGAAGCTCGTGCGCTTCAGATGCCGATCCTTTGAGTTGGCGAAGCGGCCCACTTCCTCCCTTGACTTTGCTTATTGCGGAGCCGGAGTCGTGAGCCTCACGAATGTCTTGACAGTTGGCTGGAAGCCCTCCTCTGCTCCACCCCTCGAAGGATCTGGTTTTTGTTCTGTATTGTCATCGATTCGAAGAAAGAGGACGCACATGGACGGTCTGCTTCAACTTGGATGCTGACGAGGTCCAGCTACATCTAGAATACCGAACGCCATGCGTCAACACTCGCCAATCTAGTCTTAAATCTTTACTGCATCGTCTTCGTGTCCAGGAAAGGCTCAGACGAAAGAATACGACCTATCAACGTTTGCCGCATACGGTCGCGCTCAAGCACTCGACAAACACGTTCCGATAACCCAGAGACTGGACCGCGCAATACTATCAGACTCCTCCTGGATACACGTACCACGATACAGATATAACGCAGGTGTCCTTAGCATGACCTTCGAGGTTACAGCTGTAACGCCCGAACGCCCCCGAACCTAGCCAGACTGCTACGACGTACTCTCCTCAAGCCCGACAACCACGCGTTGTCTATCGTATCGTCTCATACACGAAAAAACCTGAACAGGCCTGCGGACTACATCAAGACAAAATCCACCAAAGTGGTTGACTCAACGTCAAGGTAGGCTCCAGGGTGTGCAGCTTTTCCCCAGACCGGCTTGGTGTGGTTCAAAATACTCTTGGTCATGCGTAAACGACTTAAATCTGTTGGTAAATCACACAAAGAGCTAGAGCGCGTTACCAAAACCACAATGGTGATACGACTTGTTCCTAGCCGGTCGGGCTGTGCTCAATGGGGACTTTCTTCGTAATTACACATTAATAGATTGCTAGTTGAGCAAGCCCCGGGTATCATTGTACAAGTAGAAGGCTAAGAGATCCGATGCAATGCCTTCGCTACGATGGCGTTCTTTCAAAGCCTTCTCCAAGGGGAGACGAATCAAACGTACTTACCTTCTAGTAGTAGCTCCTGTTTCGACTTCTCGGGCAGCAACGGAAGAGATTCCTTCTGTCGCATGTTCGTACTCCGGTCGCTGAGTACAGAAGTGCCCGACGAGCGCGACTTGTTCGACTTGGAGGACTGCGGCGACGCGAAGTGCTGACTGGCCGGTTCATCGCGGAACACAGGCGTGCGCCGACCGATCGTCTCCGGGCTATTGGTGTCGCGCTGATGAGCCTGCGTGATGGTCTCTGCTCTGTCATCGGGCAGGGCCTCCGCCTCAGTGACCAGTGTCCCACCGACTTCTCGATCCTGCTGATAGCGCACAACTTCCGCTTCAGCAGTCAGCATCCGATCTCTTACAACCTCCCCCTCAGCATCCAGCGTCCCCCCAGCCTCAACCCACTTCCTTAAATGATCCTCCCGCAACCTCTCCCCAAACCCCGTCCAACGCACCCCAACCCTCATCGGAATCCTGCCCGCCCTCTCCAAAGCATCATACCAATCCCTATGCTCCGTCCAAACTAACCTCCTACTGCACTTACTCGTAGTCGGCGATCTCCCAATATCAGCAACATGCTCAAACAGCATCCCCCCGGTCGCCGTCGGCGTGTCGATATCGAGGTTATCCAGAATACTAGCCCTGACATCGCGATCGAAACACAGCCACTCTACCACATTATCCCCCGTGCGAAATCCGAGCGCCGAGCCACCGAGCTGGAAGACATCAGCCAGGTAGCCGACTTCGAGGCACCCCGATGGTACTTCGTCGCCAGCCGGAACGGGTTTCTTACGGAACGGGTCGTCGGATCGCAGCGCGCAGACGAAGCCGTGGGATGGGCGGTTGAGCAAGGAGCGTAATTTGGGGACTGAGATGAAGGAGGCTCGGTAGTGGTAGATGGCTACGTCGTATTTCGCGAAGCGGAAGTATTGCGCTTGTTTTAGCTTGTTGCCGTTGGGTCCTGGGATGGGTTTGGGGCCGTATGAGCGTGGTTTCTTGGGCGTTATGGGTCGGGGTTGCTTGACCGGCTTGGGTTTGGATGGTCGGGGGTGCTTGTTTGGAGTGCCTTTAGGTCGGGTCATGGCTTTTTCGTTTGTGATTTTGCGGCGGTCTTTGGGCGGGAAGGGAGGGCGAATAAGAGGGGAGGAAAGAGGGAATTGATTGCTGGAGGAGGTCACATGTTTTGGTCATGGAGTGTTGTAGCAATGGGGATAGTGTGCACGGGGATTTAGGCTACTGCCGCTAGAGAGGTGCTAGGTTCAGGGTCTGGTTCACCGTGAAAGTGAAAAGAGAGAAGAGGGGCGTGTAGACTGGCTGACAGGAGGAGAAGCTGGGCGGCCTTTCCAGAGCTAGCTCCCGCGTTCGCAGTAGAGCTAGAGCATGAGGTCTGAGAGTTGGTCTGGCTCTCCGTCACTGCTTATTTTGGGGTAATGCGGAGTGGACATGCTGATGTTATAGAACTTTCATCAGCTTTGGTAAGTCGTGGTTTGGTAAAAGCGGTGTGTATCGCGGCAGCTTATGGGTATGTCGCGCGCACGAAGGTGTCGCTGTAGCTTTTACACTACATCAAGATGTGGATCTCGTATAAATTGATAGATCAAGCTCGGATAGATTAATACAGGCGTCGGAAGTAAGGTATGAGACGTTCGTAGTAGTCGTCAAGCTCCTCCGTTGGTGTCAAGACATCGTATTCGCCAGATACAAGCTATTGTATGGCATTTCCAACTCTTGCCCATGGTCTTCCGCGCTTGCCAGATCTCGCAGATTTGAAAGGTTGAGAGCTACATCCTGGCAGTGGGCGACGCAGTTTCTTGGTTGAACTCGATGTAGGAGTCCGGCTAGAGTCGCAGGTTCTTGTTGCTAGTGAAAGCAGCGTTGCCGCGTTTGTAAGTACCTCTGTCATCCTCGGGGGCGTGTAGTAATGGCTCACAACCGATTTCCTGGTTTTCAGATGAAGAAACCGACTAAGTGATCAAAGCTTTGCCACTGGTTGTGAAGGTAGAGTGTGTCAGTGGAGGGAGCGGGCCATTGCACGTTCAGCGCGACAGAAGCGGATAAGTCGGGGAAAGACCGCCTCGTTATCTACACTTCAGCTCCCTCACTTTACCTCCAGTGAAGGAACTAGTAGGCGCTGCCGAGCACTGACCTATGCTCATTGAGTGCACCAAATCTGTACGGCTCTCACTTCTCAACCGTTGTTTCTTGTTTCCGCTATCCCATTGACTATTCCAAAACATGCGGATCTCGGGGCTCCTCGGGTTAGCAACCCTCATCGTTGCTGTCGCAGGCGAGGTTTGTCAAAGGTAGGTATCGTGCCTCTAGTCGAGTTGTTGTTCTGGTTACGTCCTTCTATCAAGTACCACATCTGTTTGATTACATGTCGCTGTAGTTGACTCAGACTCTAGTTGCCCAAATAACGACCTTCTCGCTGTCAATTTTACGATCCCGGGTGGACTTGATAAGATCCTTGTTGCCGGTGACCCCGACGACTCGGATTCACCATCAGACGTAACAGTGACTCCAGCGCCCGACGCGTATTACGACCATTGCAAGCAAAAAGGATGCGCCCTGGAATGGTCGATGCAGCACTCCAATAGCGAGGCCGGCGCTCAATTTGCACCTCCCCGCATGACCGCACAATCTCCCTTTCAAACTCCTCAAGACCTCCGAGACTGGGGATGGCATGACGGTGTCAAGATATCGCAAGCTTACGATGACCTCAGCAGCTTCTGGTGGGGAGCTGATGTGGCACTGAAGGGCCTTCAGCTTCCTTGGAAGACGGATGCCCAAGAGGGTCCCAATCGTCTCACCATTATAGTGCACCAAGACCCCACTGCAGATATCAGTGTTGATAAGCAAACTTACAACGTCGACGGAAAAAAATACCGGGCTTCGGACGCTGATTACACTATGCTTGTGAATCTGCAAGATGGTGTTATCATTGCCATAAGTCGCAAAGGCCCAGATACGGCAGGCAAGGAGCGAGAGCCGCCGCTGAAACCAGAAGACATGCCAAAACTCCATCAATTCTCCGATGTTGGCTGGATAAAATGGAAGGCCATGACCGAGGCGAATAATCTTCCTGTTAACAATCTTCGGTATTTCTTATCGCTTGGGATCGCGAACACACAGACGTTATCAGTGTGCGAGAGGATTTTCAGGGATAATAACCTAGCAATGAGGAGGTGGCCTGGTCACGTTTTCCTAGCCGGCACATGGCAGTTCCGTGCTATCTTGGGTAAGTTGCACCCATCTTAGAGGGGTTCAGGTATCTCGTAGCGTAATCGGGGCTGTGTCGTCTTCATTGCAGTAGAGCATAACCCCAAGGCTCACTTGAGACCACCGTCTTATCCTGGAAGAGTATCTCGGCTAACTCATGGACAGGAACCCCGAACGTACAAGGCTTTGGGTACATGCTGGTTCAACACAAGGCAGATCTGGGCAACATGTTCATTAGTAAAATCCATGTTTTCCTGTGTGAAAACAACGAGGTTTGCATTGTCGCATTTGTGTCCCAACCAGTGGCCACTCCAGTGCAAGATGCAATGGTCGGATCAATAGTCATTTCGGATCAGGTCGACAGACGCGACGAAGGAAGTAACGTCATGCGTCTACACAAGATCTTCGCGAAGCTGTGAGAGCTAGGGAGAGCGAGTCAGAATATATGGGAGGACTGATGATAGTTAGACCTTTGGCTGGTAGACAGACGCGATTGCCGGTCTTAGATCTGGATGGTCTTGGCTGCTTTGAAAGAGTGTATGCGTCCAACCTAATAACATCGACGATTGTCACATTCAATTCCATCTCTTTTGCGGTGTCGGAGTGCTCGATCCAGTCAGGCAGCTCGATCAACGCCACGCCTTGTAGCAAAAGTAAATCTGCTCAGGCGGCCAATGACAGAAGTCGTGGGCGCGTCGAGTCGGAGCGGATCCGGCAGCCGCGACGCGCGCGTGTTGTTTTGAGGGGATCCGAATGCAGGGAAGGAACTTACATATACCACCTCATGCCCCATACTGCGTCGGTCCTGAACTTGCACCGCTCAACCGCAAACACTCGCCGCCGATCAAGTGTCATTGCAGAAGCCATGTCGTGCCATGACCACGCCAATACGTCAAGCGCGGGCTCGCGTCATATGACAGGCGTGCCCCGCGCTGTAGGATGAGAGCTCGCGCATGACAGCCCACGAAGGAACATCTGCCGCCACAATGCGCCTGTGGGGTATTAGCCGTTCCACCGAGCGACGTGCTGCTCGCTGGTCTGGGCCGTGTTCACCCTGGCAGACTGGAGAATTAAAGAGAGAGAAATTCCTCGGCTTTCGTTACCCCGCTAGCGACTCCGTCGACTAGAGGCTGCCGTCTGCCCTATCAGCCGAGTATCTTCGCCGCATTGCGCAATCGGGACCGCGGCCGGTAGCGAAGAAACTCCCTCTGGACTCCCTTGGACTCGTCTTTCCGAGGTTATACCACACCACCCATTCGCCATGAGGCCTGCGACTACTGCGCCCGCCGCTTTCCGCGCTGCGGCGTCCATCGCACGACTCCCCCGCCCAAAGACGTGCTCCTTTGCGACGCGCTGCCTAGCTTCCCAGACTGCTGCGAGATCGGCCCAGTTTTCGAGCCCGCGACGAACATCCGCAAACAGCGCCCCAACACCAGCACCCAGCCTATACACTCGAATTGGACAGTACAGGATGGCGTCCTCGCAGGGAATCAAGAAGATCCAGGTCAAGAACCCCGTGGTCGAGCTCGACGGCGATGAGATGACCCGGATCATCTGGCAGGTCATCAAGGACAAGTTCATCCACCCATACCTCGACATCGACCTCAAGTACTACGACCTGGGCCTGCCCTACCGTGACGAGACCAACGATCAGGTGACGCTCGACGCCGCAGAGGCTATCAAGAAGTACTCTGTCGGTGTCAAGTGCGCGACCATCACCCCCGACGAGCAGCGCGTCGAGGAGTTCAAGCTCAAGAAGATGTGGCTGTCGCCAAATGGCACCATCCGCAACCACCTGTATGGCGCACATTGAGATGAAGGGGAGGACATAACTGACAACACATTCTAGAGGAGGAACCGTTTTCCGCGCGCCTATCGTCATCCCCACCATCCCCCGTCTCGTACCCGGCTGGAAGCAGCCCATCATCATCGGCCGCCACGCTTTCGGCGACCAGTACCGTGCGAAGGACCGCGTTATCCCCGGCGAGGGCACACTCGAGATGGTCTTCACACCCAAGGGCGGCAAGCCTGAGGTCATCAAGGTCTACGACTTCCCAGCGGAGGGCGGCGTCGCGCAAACCCAGTACAACACCACCGAGTCCATCTCCGGCTTCGCACATGCTTCCTTCAAGATGGCGCTCGACAAGAAGCTGCCGCTGTACATGAGCACCAAGAACACCATTCTCAAGGCATACGACGGCAAGTTCAAGGATGTCTTCCAGGCCATCTACGACAGCCAGTACAAGAAGGAGTTCGAGGCTGCCAAGATCTGGTACGAGCACCGCCTGATTGACGACATGGTCGCCCAAATGATCAAGAGCGAGGGCGGCTACATCATTGCCATGAAGAGTGCGTATCCCTCCTACTATCATTGCGACTTCGCTAACATTCCCAGACTATGACGGAGACGTCCAATCCGATATCGTCGCCCAAGGCTTCGGCTCCCTCGGCCTCATGACCTCGACCCTCATCACCCCTGACGGCAAGACCTTCGAGGCCGAAGCCGCGCACGGTACCGTCACCCGCCATTTCCGCGAACACCAAAAGGGCAACGAGACCTCCACCAACCCCATCGCCTCCATCTACGCCTGGACACAAGGTCTGGCCAAGCGTGGTGAGCTGGACAACACACCTGAGCTCGTCGTTTTCGCCGAGCAGCTCGAGAAGGCTTGCGTGGACACTGTGGATATCGACAAGATCATGACTAAGGATCTGGCCCTTGCGTGTGGAAAGAAGGACCGGGCGTCTTGGGTCACCACCAATGAATATCTTGATGCCGTCGAGAGGAGATTAAAGTCGAGCTTGAAGGAGAAGCTATAGATGTACAGAAGTGTTGAATAGTCGCGTGGGATATTCCTTGCATCGGATCACTCGGTAACAGCGTGATACCTAGACCTGACCCTGTAGACGGAGTTCTGCTTACTCTTGGGCAGGAATCGATTGTTCACAAATTCAATTGCGCCTGTGCATGTCTTCCTTTGCCAGTGAGGCGCGAGAGCGCGAGGCATCTTTTTTTGGCAGGGAGCTCGTGCCATGTCGTCTCCACATGTTCCCGGAGCACGTTGCTTTTGATGAACTGGGTTTACGCTAATTTCCGATGAGACCCAAATCCTCAAAAAGAAACCAGTCTCTTGCATGTCTCACGGCAGTATGCATATGCGGGACGATCTGATGTTTGTTTGTTACACAGCTGATTGCAAAACATTTGTCGCGACTGTCTTGTTAAATTCCTAAGGCTTGCATACTTTGCATTCCGTTTAGCAGCTCTGTGTTGGGCGCTCTTGATCTCCTCGACAGTTGCTGGCCGTCTCATCCTAGACGGGATCACATGATGGAGGCGTTCACTGATGCTGCTCCCGGGACTAACCCGACTAAAGCCGCTAGGACCTACAGTGCGAGCCCGACCACCACGCCAGCCTCTGTACCAAATGACAGCGCAGGATCTACAGCCACCATTACCACAACGTTTCCGTCGCCTAAAAAGCACGGCAGTCCCTCGACTCCCGACTCTACTCCATTGCACCGACGCTTTCTGCGAGCAGTCTCGATGCCGCCTGCGACACCGTCGCGTCCGCCCATGGAGAGCCAGAAATCTTTCGAGAAGGCGCGCGACAGCCCAGTCGTAGTTCGCCATACTCCCAAGAGGACACAACCATCGCCGATGAAGCTCGAAGTTGGCCAGGGCGCGTTCTACTTCTCAATTGAACTGCCCCCCAACAAGATCACGCCAAAGAAGAGCGGAACGACAAGCAAGAGCCAGACGCCAAAGGGAGAAGACACGCCCACGAGGACCAGGACGCCTAGCCCGTTGAAGAAAGCAAGCCCGACGAAAGAGAATGCAGTGAGTACACCCACGAGGGCGACGCGCAGCCCGCTCAAGCGTGATGAGACGACCAAGCAGAGCCCTGCGAGGCCGTTGTTTGGTACGCCGACGCGGGCGAGGATGCACAAGCAAGATACGGATCCACGAACTCCTGTTGGGTCAACACCCAGCCCGCGAAAGAATCACAGCGCAGTGAAGCAGAGCCCTGCCAAGATAGCTACTGCCACTCCGCAGAGAAAAGGCTTGCTCAAGACACCTGGAAGTAATCGACCAGGAAGTCCCATCAAGCGCTCGATTGAACAAGACGACTCACCCGTAGATCCGCTCAAGACGTCTGCTCGCCTGGCGAGAGAACTCCTATCAGGGCCAGAGGAGACACTCCGAATGCCACCCGAACGTCTTGTGGACCTGAAGGACGAGCACGCTCCAGCAAACTTGGTCGCGACTGCCACAGACTCAGCCCCGCACCACGAAACCACGAGGCAGGCGCCACCAGCGAACAAGTGCCCAGAAAACATCGGACACCTAATGGCAAGCCTCATCAGCAGCACTACCAGCACGCGTGACTGGGGAACCGCCTACAACAACGACATGATCTCCCCTATACCGACGCCCTTACGCAAGGCCTCTGAGAAGCTCAAGCTGGGAGAGTCGCCTTCTTTCCTGCGGATGTCCGCCAATGGTACGACCACGATGACCAATGCCGGCCCTGCTTCCGATGTCAGCAAGAGAGGGTCTTTGAACCTACGTGAACCTGCGTCAGTCGACCCAGGACAGGATGAGAGTAACCAGATTGAGTCATCGTCGTCTGGATCAACCGAGGCACCTCTTCCCTCTTCCATTACCACAGATCATACTGCGGACGTGTCAAGCGAACCGCGACCTGCACTGCCGTTACGTGCAGCCAGTCTAGGGTCTTCCAACACCTTGAACGCGACTCGCGAGGTACCAGCCCCACCACATCGCCCGCTTCTCTTCCCAAAGCGGAGGTCGGAGACCCTTCAGAAAGCGCCGTCGCAGCAAGAACAACAGGTCAGGTGGCAAGATATGGAGACTGCTTCTTTGAAGCCCCTACCTACAAGCCACCAGAGGCGAGTGGGGACTGATCCAAGCGTACTTTTGAAGATGCAAAAGGACATGGCCAATCTGGAAGCGACGATGCGCCGCTCGGCAGGCGTTGTCGACCCAGCGTTTTGCGGCCCGCTCAATCTGAACGAGCTCCCTGCAATGTCGAACGACTACTTCGTTAGAGGCCAGCAAGATATCAGAAGCCCAGGTGTTGTTGGTACACCAAAAACCCTCAGTAGAGCCAACTCCGACAACCCATCGATTGCGACCGTACAAGCGAATGGAGTAAGAGGTACTAGCAATTCACTAGCATCGTTGAAGGTCTCCGGCACGCCAGGTATACCACGATTGAAATCTAGTGCTCCGACCTCAGCACAAGCGACGAGAGACCGTCTTCTTGCAGCTAAGAAGGAAACTCCTCAGCGTATGGGTGCGACTACAACTGCGGTTCCCGAAAGATCCCGCCCTCGATCAAAGACCACAGTGTCAGCAACAAGCAAGTCTAGTGCTGTGACTAGTACACCACGCAAGACCCCAGCGACCCCAGCCAAACCCGTGGCACCTCCAAGCACAACAACACTCAGCTCTCCACACAGCCGCATACCATCAGTGAACGCCGCCAAGCCCAGGATGCGAACACAGTCTGTCCCTCAAGCTGGATCGAAGCCGCCTGCCAGTATCTCGGGTCATATCAAGGCCGTCGCAGCATTGAAAGAGCGTCTACCAAACGTACCAACTGCTCCGGTCAACACCAGACCTGTTCCGATCCGGAAACCTGTGGTCCCCTCCATTACAGCCACTCAAGCTCCTTCGGCGGGTCCGCGACCGTATGAACAAGAGTTTGCCAGCGCGGGAGACATTGCTGACCGACTTGCTAATTGGCACGACGAGGATCGGAAGAAGGCGCAGATCAACCGTCCTACGGTCGCAGTTAAGAACACTTCAGCGAAGACACAGGCAGGAGGCCAGGCGGACGAGTCTACTACACCAGACGGCTCACCTGCGAAGATCCTCACACCTGCCAAGGTACCTGCACCAGCTAGAACTCCAAAAGCCCTCCCTCCTGCCAAAGATGTCAAATCGAGACCTTTCTCAACAAAGCCAAGTGCTCCATCAACGCCCAGATCTAAGCCCAGCGCGCCGGCTCCAAAGACCCCGGCCCCGAAAACCCCAGCTCCAGCGCCCCGTAACGCTGCTGCCGTCAACAACAACCTCCGCCAACCCATAACCGCCGCTAAAACCCCAGTAAACCGCCGCATACCCGTCCTGGACCGCAATGCAACACGTACACCAAGCAAAGCCATCGTGAGTAGTCTGGATCAAGCGATCGATAGGAAGATTGCAGAGGACGCGAGACGTGGGATGGAGTTTACGCCTGGTGGGAATCGGCTGAGAGATTTGCTGGATGCGAAGTCGATGAACGGGGGTGTTGTGCAGGTTTTGGAGGAAGAGGAGGAGGTGTAAGGATCTGTAGGGTTGCTGCAAGGGCGATGAGGACGATTGGTGGGGGTTAGGGGCGCTATCTTGGCCTTCTGTCTTTCTTTTGTCAAGTTCTTATGATTTGTGTGGCGTTAACAATGTAAGGTTTGGGATGGGAGTTGAGGATTAGGTGGTGTCACAAGGAGAATCATGTAGAAGGGTAGAAGTTTAATGTACCACAGCTATTCAAAATCTACATCGGCCACGCCTGTTCATCTTCTACTTCCTACTGCCCTCCCCATAACTCTCCCCAAACACATCGCCTCCATCATCAGACTCGCCCATCTCTTCATCACTATCTTCATCACCGCCGTCCTCACCAGAGTCCGAGGCTTCGCTCAGACCCAGCGTGTGGCTAGACGTCTCACTCTCTTCGTCCTCACCCCTGTCGCTCTCAGAATCCTCCATGCTCTCGTCTGAATCTCCTACGCCCTCACTAGTCCCCTTACCATCTTCTCCATCGCCTGCTACAGTAGAGCCAGACGATTCCGACCGACCTAAGGTGCGACTAGACGCATCACTTCCTTCATCATCTCCACTATCCTCGACATCATCACCCATGGCGCCTTCCGCCAAGCTATCCCAGCTACGACTACGCCCAGAGGCTGTTGCGACCCCATCTCCGGCTGTATATTCTCGTCCATCGAATCTTCTTTCACTCTGAGCGTTTCGTCGCTTGGTAGCATGCGTTGCGCTAAGGCGAAATGCGTCGTCTTGTGTGGGCGTGTCTGCGGCAGGGGTGTAAGTGTGGTACTGGCGTAAGGTGCCGTTGGGGCGGAAGCTAGTGGCAATGAGAGGACCAAAGGGGTTCGTGGGGGTGGCGTGGCTTTGTTTCTGTGGCGAGGTGTTGGGCATGACGGATGGTTTTGTTGTGATGGTGGTGTATGTGATGTGTGTGCGAAGTGAATACGTTATCATGACAAGAAGCAATTCCGGAGACTTTATACAGGCCAGGGGCTCTTCGACAAGAGACAAGAGTCTAGGAGCTGTTTCTCAAAAGTAGAACAGGAGCGTTCGAGGGTCTCACATCGATGTCTTGAGTACAGAGATCTGGATTAAGGCAGAGACATACTTTAGACACAAATGTTGTAGATTCCAAGGAGAGGTATCGGCTACGGTATCTCATCCGATAGAAGTACGAATCCCAATCCCAAGCGTCCTAGCAGGAGTAGTAATGGAAATCTAGATCGTGTACAAATACCTCGGGTTATCCTCACCCATCTCAGCAATCTCCTCTTCAGTCTTGCCTTCAATCCTCCAGTCCTCCTTACCAGACAGCTTCCTGTTATTCTTCATGCGGAAGTAGAAGTGCAGCGCAATGTAGATCGCGATACCGAGGGCTAGCAGCCCGATAGTAGCGCCGTAGCCCGGAATGTATGTTGGCGCGGTGTCGGCGGCGTACAAGAAAGGTGCCGCAACACCTGAGCAGTTACCGATGGTGATCTGCATACCGCTCGCGAAGGCTCGCTTTCCGTATCGGGGATTGTTGACAGCGATCCAGGAGAAGGCGATTCCGGTGGCTACCCATAGTCCGAGCGCGACGATGAAGCAGCCAGCGAAGCTGAGACCAAGTCCCTATATGCATGTCAGTACAGTCGTTGGAATTGTGGAATGTTGAGGGCCTACCTTGTTTGCGATGAGGAAGATGTACCCGATCATACTAACAGCGAGCCCACCTATACAGTAAAGACCTCTGTTTTGCGACTTGTCGCTGAAGTATGCGCAAATGACGTAGGTAAGGAATCCGCAGACGTAGACGGGGATCGTCAACGCCTGAACCACTTGACGGCTCCATCCACCTCCCAGACCGTTGATGATGGTAGGTAGGAAGACGGAGAAACTGTAGAGCATGCCCAGCCCAACGAATTGTGCAATGGCGTAGGCGTAGACCTTCCAGTCTTTCACACCCTTCATAACATCCTCGCGCGCGAGTTCCTGACCAGAAGTTGTTTGGCCGACTTCCTTCATTCGGAGCAGAACAAGGTTCCGGCGGTCTTCCTCGGTCAAAAAGCTGGCCGTCTCGGGGCTGTTGGGTAGGACGAAAGGTACGGCGACGGCGGTGATCACAGTTGGAATGCCGTTGATCAAGATGATCCAACGCCATCCGTTCCAGCCTGCTACACCGTCGAGCTCACCGATTGCGTACGCTACAACACCCTGTGCTTGTTAGAGCCTTTCTGTTGTCTCGTGGAGGCGATACTTACACCTAGTCCACCTGCTAGTGCAGATGTACCATAGAAGCACGCTTGTCTCAAGCTAACGTTGCGCCGGTTGTAGAACATACTCAGGTAAAGAATGACGCCCGGGAACAAGCCGGCTTCGAACATGCCCAACAGGAGACGGCAGACGATGAGTCCAGCGAAGTTATTGACAAAGCAGGAGAACGTGGCTACCATGCCCCACATGAACATGAGGCCTCCGAGATATCGGGCAGGTTTCATTCGCTTCAGGATCAGGTTTGACTAGATGTCTAATTAGCATGTAAGGCTAGGCTCTGATGAACGCCAAGCTTACCGGAGTTTCGAATATCTAATACACGATTAGTGGAAGTCAACAAAGATTGGGTGAGAGCGACACTTACAACGTAAGTAACGAACAAGATGGATACCGCGATTTGGAACTGATTGCTATCGGGGTCCATGCCAAGATCCTCCTCCATCTTGTAGAGACGAGCATTGCCGATGTTGACTACGCGAATCTGTCAGTCTAGATCTCAAGATGAGCATACCGTACGCACCTCGATCCATGAAGTTCATCAGGTAGATCCAGCATATCATGGGCACGATCCGGATGTCCAGCTTCCTTAGCAGCTTTGCTTCGGTGACAGGATCAATGTCAATCATCGAGGCGGATTGTTCGACGTCTTCGAGTTTGAGAGGCGGGTTTGGCGATGTGTCCGAGCCTTTCTCGTCCCTGTACTCCGGTTCCGTGAGCACGGGCCCATCTTTGTTTGCGTTCATGCTGTCAACAAACGAAAACAAGATTGTATGAGTGCGATCTCAAGTTGGAGGTGTTTCCAGTGGGGAGGTAAGTTGCTGTGATCGTCGTCAACGGACCAAAAAAGTATTGGAACCAGTCTGACCCTTATAACCCGAACACCTGGGGAAGGGTGCCCCGGCCCCATGGGGAAGCGAGATATGCCATGCGCTTGGTATACGGAGACGCGCCGTTGGCATCGATCAGGCAGAATCACCGAAGCGAGTTTGATAATCTCGTCGTCGAAGTGCCGGTAGCCGTTCTTCCGCCCTGGCGTGCTTGGAGGCTCTGGTTGAGGGCGCTTCCAAGCTTCTGATACTGGGGTAATTGGTGGTTAACCAAGACCTTCACCTCCTTGGATTATTAACCTGTTTTGGCAAGGCTGGACGCGGATCGCGTCAACGGGACCAGATCTTCGGTACGGAGGAACGGGTATCTTCTGTTGTGTAGCCTATCATCTTGCGTAACGCAAGGGTATTCGCAATCCCATGTGCCAGATGCTCGTAATAGCAGGTATGCTCAACAACTTTCCCATGTAACGTGCACAGACTCGAATGCCTGTCCGGACCTACAGCTTCTGCACAACTCTGAACAGCCGAACAATAAGACAATCTGCGCTTGAATACGAGAACAATATGCACAGAGTCCGTTAATAGTACACGACCGTGAATCGAGTGGAATGGCCTTGATCACTATCATGTTTGGTGTGTGCATGCTGCAATCCACGGCAGTACTCCTCTTGGTGCTGAGAAATGCCACGGATGCCGCATTTGATTTGACCGGAGGACGCACTGGATCTAGTGAGGAGTACTTAGTCCGAGAGATTGCATAGATATACTGCCTTCCTTTGCTCCGTGGGTGTTGTTGTCATGCTCGATACCAAGTCGCCAAGTCCTTAGCCTGCGTTGACGCGCTTGGCAGTTGTGTCCTATGCAAGGACGTCGAGCTTCTCCACACATCCGATGTTGCTACTGTATGAGGCAAGTGGGTATGACAAAAGATGATTTTTGGTGGTGCATGAGAGCGTAATGACATATCAGCGAGTCTAAGTTGATTCAACAGAGAACGTCGCAATGTGAGGCTCTTCGACGGCTTGTTGTTATTCTTGCCCAGCCGGATAGATCGGTATGAGATGCATCGCGGCTGCGTCTTTACAAATTGATTCGAACGGGGAGGCTGAAACATTGCAGCAGTGCTGCGCCTCGGGCGGAATGATAGATGCTTGTGCGGCGGGCTTCTGCATTCAAGAGGAAGTACGCCTGTTGTGCAGAGCGGGCAAAGGGATGTGATAGACGGCCAAGCACCGAGCCGTTGCCCAGCATGAGGAGGATCAGTAGAGATATGGCGCCGCTGACGATGATGATGAGAGATGATGGATGAACGAAGGCGGAACCGCTGGTGAATGATGGGACGAGGCAGGGGCAGCACGTCTTGAGTGGCGCGTCGCTTAGTCACCACGCCCTAAAACTCACGGCGCGAAGGCACACAACGACTTGGAGATGCAGTGCTAAGCTCTCAAGACTTGCACATGAGATCCAAGGCACCATTCGACCGGTTTAGCCCCACGTGGTCATCCCTGCTCGCCATGTGTTCATTGCAAGAAATCCGTTTGAAAGGCCGCAGTGAAGTATTGGCGTGGAAGAGGGGAAGGTTCGTGTGCTATCCTCTAATGCTTTCATACAGCCACTAGTGCCCTGATGAGTTCCTCCGTTACTCGGACACCCGTACAGATCTCTTCTTCGGTCTCCAGGTTCGGCACATAGAAAAACACAACGTCTCGTCTGCCAGTCCGTTTCTGCATCTCGAGTAGACTCATGTAGTAGCTGAAACCACACACATACGAGCCCACATCATTGCTGAGCCTTACTTCGACAGCTGGTCTTGATTTCTCCTTTCCTTTCGTCTTCGGAAGGCCGATGGAGGAACAAGCTTCCCTTCATATCTCAGCTGCCGCATCAATATCAACCGTCGTTGCCAGAGATCGTGACGCTTTTGCAAAGGTCTTTTCGAATCTGCTCTTGTAAAGACCCCTCTCTCGATATCTGGAATGTTTTGATATGCATCTCTTAGGGCACTACGTTGGATTTTGGGTGAGTAGACTATTTGACTACGCTGGGAGCGACGCGTATGGAGCGCATTTGAATATCGTGAGATGGCTTTACGCGTCACGAGAGTTAGCAGGCGCATGCAGTATTTCTGTACGCGTAAAGCTTTGAAGGGGTAGGGCGCTGATGCTATTGCGCGAAGTTGGTGTTGGAAGCGTGAAGCGGTGGCGCAGCCGGGATGACATGGGTTCCCCACGTCAGACATGCAAGGTCCGGTAGCGGTGCACTTTGATTTCGAAGAACGCAACCCTCGCAAAAAGTATACTCCCGGTTTGACTCATACCCACAACCTCTCAGACATAATGCGCTGAGTTCGATACTCGCCCTCATCAATTGTAATTCCCTGCAGCCTTACTTCCCGCGTTCAGCAGCTGGCGGCTCTTTGTGCAAGTCTGACTCGCACCGCCCACCATGGCGAGCAACGGCGTCAATGTCGCGCAGGGTGAGCCGACCAAGGTGACCATCCTGGGCAAAGACTCGATCGTCGTCGACTACGGCATCTGGCAGAATTACATCGCCCAGGACCTGCTTACCAACATTCCCTCGTCGACGTACGTCCTCATCACCGACACCAACATCGGCCCTCTGTACACGCCCACGTTCGAGCGCGCCTTCGCGTCGGCCGCATCTTCGCTCTCGTCCTCCCCACGCCTCCTCACCTACCAGATCGCGCCCGGCGAGACGTCCAAGTCGCGGAATACCAAGGCAGCCGTAGAAGACTGGCTGCTGTCGCAAGGATGTGTGCGCGACACCGTCATAATAGCGTTGGGCGGAGGCGTCATTGGGGATATGATAGGCTATGTCGCCGCGACGTACATGCGCGGCATCAAGTTCGTCAATGTGCCTACCACACTGCTGGCCATGGTCGACTCGAGCATAGGCGGCAAGACGGCCATTGACGTGCCCGCGGGCAAGAACTTGGTCGGCGCCTTCTGGCAGCCTGAGAGGATCTACATTGATTTGCAGTTCCTCGAGTCGCTGCCTAAGAGGGAGGTCGTCAACGGCATGGCAGAAGTGGTCAAGACGGCGGCAATTTGGAACGAGGAGGAATTCACAACACTCGAGGGCAATGCAGACGCCATCCTGGCTGCGATCGACCAAAAGCCCGTCAACGGCCGCAAGAACTTCGACAAGATCGCCAGCATACTGAAGCGCATAGTACTGGGCTCAGTACGTGTCAAGGCCGAAGTCGTCTCGGCAGACGAGCGCGAAGGAGGCCTGCGCAATCTGCTCAACTTCGGACACTCGATCGGACACGCTTACGAAGCCATCCTCACGCCCCAGATCCTCCACGGAGAGTGCGTCGCGATAGGAATGGTCAAGGAGGCCGAATTGGCCAGATACCTGGGTGTACTGGATCCCTCTGCAGTCGCGCGCTTGACAAAGTGCATCGCGAGCTACGGACTGCCCACATCGCTAGCGGACAAGACGGTGCGGAAGAGGTCGGCCAACAAGCATTGCCCTGTAGACGAGCTTATCAAGATCATGGCTGTGGACAAGAAGAATGCAGGCAAGACAAAGAAGATCGTGCTTTTGTCAGGCATTGGCCGGACGTACGAAAAGAAGGCTAGCTCCGTCGAAGATCGCGACATCAGAATCGCCCTGTCACCGAGCATATCTGTGCATCCTGGTATCCCCTCCGACCTGAACGTGACCTGCAGACCCCCAGGATCCAAGAGTATCTCCAACCGAGTCCTCGTACTTGCTGCGCTTGGAACTGGCTCGTGTCGCATCACCAACTTGCTACACTCTGACGACACGCAAGTCATGCTAGACGCGCTGGCAAAGATGCAGGGTGCTAGTTTCGCGTGGGAGAATGACGGCAAGGAGCTAGTCGTCACCGGTAATGGCGGAAACCTCAAAGCGTCGAGCAACGAACTCTACCTCGGAAACGCTGGTACTGCCGCGCGTTTCCTGACTTCCGTGACTGCACTGTGCCAGCCCGTCGAGGGCGTGACATCCACAGTAGTCACCGGCAATGCGCGTATGAAGGAGCGACCCATCGGCCCGCTGGTCAAATCACTCCGCACCATGGGCGTCGAGATTGACTACCAAGAGAATGAAGGCAGCTTACCGCTGCGAATCTCTGCATGCGGTGGCTTTGGTCCGGATTCTTTCACGGGCGAGATTGAGCTTACTGCCAACGTATCGTCGCAGTACGTATCTTCCATTCTCTTGAGCGCGCCATACTCCAAGAAGCCTGTAACGCTGCGGCTGGTCGGTGGCAAAGTCATCTCCCAACCATACATCGATATGACCATCGCCATGATGGCTTCCTTTGGCGTGCAAGTTGAGAGATCCCAAGATGATCCCAACACCTACCACATCCCCAACAAGCCCTACACGAACCCCTCCGAATATGAGGTGGAAAGCGATGCTAGCTCTGCTACCTACCCTCTCGCGATCGCGGCTATAACAGGTACAACATGCACAGTGCCCAACATCGGATCAGGCTCCCTGCAAGGTGATGCGCGATTCGCTGTTGAGGTTCTGAAACCTATGGGCTGCAAGGTTGAACAGTCCGAGACCTCTACAACGGTCACAGGCCCTCCTCGCGGCGAATTGAAAGCCGTCAACGAGATCGACATGGAGCCCATGACCGACGCTTTCCTCACAGCATCCGTACTGGCCGCAGTAGCATCATCGAATGGTAGCACAACCACTACTCGTATCTATGGTATCGCAAACCAGCGTGTCAAGGAATGCAACCGCATCCAAGCCATGGAAGATGAGCTTGCCAAGTTCGGTGTCACCTGTAGACAATTTGACGATGGTATTGAAGTTGACGGAAAAGCTTACGAGCTCGAAGCTCCAAAGGTCGGTATTCACTGCTACGATGATCATCGCGTCGCCATGAGTTTCGCTGTGCTGTCATTAGTAGCTCCAGCGCCAGTTCTCATTCTTGAGAAGGAATGTACTGGAAAGACATGGCCTGGATACTGGGACTCTCTGAGCCAAATCTTCAAGACCGAGCTCTCAGGCGTGGAGCTACCGCCACGGCCGAATGCGCACAAGGCAGCGTCAAAGACTGAACAGAAGTCAATCTTCATCATCGGAATGCGCGGCGCCGGCAAGACGACCGCTGGTGGATGGGCAGCACGTGCGCTCGGACGTCCTTTCATTGACCTGGATACTGCACTCGAGGAACATGTCGGCATGACAATACCTGAACTCATCAAAACGCAGGGGTGGGATGGCTTCCGGAACGAGGAGCTGAAGCTTCTCGCTCAGACTGTCAAGGAGAAGCCTAATGGGCATGTCTTCGCCTGCGGTGGTGGGATTGTCGAGACACCTGAAGCTCGCAAGATTCTCGTCGACTATCAGAAGAGTGGCGGTATAGTACTACTTGTCACGCGTGATATCAACAAGGTAGTAGCCTTCTTACAGATCGATAAGACACGGCCAGCATACGTAGACGACATCATGGGCGTATGGCTGCGGAGGAAGGACTGGTACACGGAGTGCAGTAACTATCGCTTCCACAGTCAGGTTCCGGGATCTGGTGGGCTCGCTCAAACGCAAGGAGAAATTGCCCGTTTCTTGAACACCATCACTGGCAAGGCCACTACTTTGAAGGGTCTCAAGAAGAGGAAACATTCTTTCTTCGTCTGCTTATCTGCACCCCGACTTGAGCCTTGCATCAATACTCTACCAGAGATAGTAGTCGGATCGGATGCTGTTGAGCTCAGAGTCGACTTGTTGGAAGACCCCAACGGGCAAGAAGGTCTGCCAACACCAGAGTTCGTGATCGAGCAACTGACAATACTGCGGACCGTAACATCGATACCGATCATATTCACCTTGCGAACAAAGGCACAAGGCGGAAGATTCCCAGACCAGGCATACGATGAGGCCCTCGTGCTTTATCGGACAGCATTACGACTTGGTTGTGACTTTGTAGATCTGGAGATGACCATGCCAGAAGACATCCTGCGCGAGGTTTCCGACACCCGCGGATACTCCGAGATCATCGCTAGCCATCACGATCCCAAAGGCGAGCTCAACTGGAGAAACGGCTCGTGGATGCAGTACTACAACCGCGCGTTACAGTACGGTACTGTCATTAAGCTTGTGGGTGTCGCCAAGTCGCTCGAAGACAACTATGCGCTTGCAGAGTTCAAGAGCTGGGCGAATACGGCGCATCCCGTCCCTCTGATCGCCATTAACATGGGCGAGCATGGCAAGCTTAGCAGGATACTTAATGGCTTCATGACACCCGTCTCGCACCCCCTCCTGCCCTCTGCTACCGCACCAGGTCAACTATCTGCAGGAGATATTCGGCGAGGCTTGTCGTTGATGGGCGAGATTTCGACGAAGAAGTTCTTCATCTTCGGCTCACCAGTGGCACAAAGTCCTAGCCCGCGTCTCCACAACAAGCTGTTTGGTGAGACTGGGCTCCCGCACATCTACGGCCGCCACGAGACTACGGATGTAAGCTCCGTCAAGGACATCATCCGTTCGCCAGACTTCGGTGGAGCCAGTGTGACAATCCCGCTCAAGCAGGACATAGTACCTCTCCTCGACGGTTTAGGCCCAGAAGTCGACGTCATCGGTGCCCTCAACACCATCGTTCCTGAGAGCTCCGTCGATGAAGCCAGTGGTGAAGAGGTCGTCCGTCTAATCGGTCGCAACACCGACTATCTAGGCATGATGCTCATCCTCCGCAACGCTGGCGCCCAAGGCAGCGGTTCTGCCCTCGTCATCGGCGGCGGCGGCACAAGTCGCGCTGCCATCTACGCACTCAAGGAAATGGGCTACGGACCAATCTACCTCCTCGGCCGCAACCCCTCGAAGATGGAGACCCTCAAGAACGCCTTCTCATCAGAATACAACCTACACGTCATCGGCTCCCCAGAAGAAGTCCAATCTATGGAAAGCACGCCACAGGTCGCTATCGGAACCATCCCCGCTGACCAACCCATCGACGTCGCCATCCGCGAAACGCTTTGCACCTTGTTCGAGAAGGGCAAGGCGAGCGTCAAGGACGTGGAGCCAGGTCCAGAAAGAATACTGTTGGAGATGGCGTACAAGCCTCCGGTAACAGCGCTGATTCAGCTTGCGATGGACAACGGGTGGAAGACGGTCAATGGTCTGGAGGTTTTGGTCGGACAGGGTGTGCATCAGTTTGAGTACTGGACTGGTGTCAAGCCGCTGTATGCGGTCGCTAGGGTAAGTTTTGCTGTGTGAATCATGATTAGGATGAAGCTAACGTTACGCAGGATGCTGTGATCAATCAAACGGACTAGACGGGGAAGAGCTCGCTATCGGTGGGGGTCATGGGTGTTTTAGCAGTTGTTATGAACTTAGTGTAGATGAAAAGCACGATACATCAACATGCCAGTTTCTGTTTGCAATTCCCAAATTATGTGGATGTAATGCAGTAGTCATACTGAGGTGAAGGTCATTACACGTCGACCTGGCTACCTTGGTATGGGGATGTGATACCGCGCTTGCGCACGGATGTCTTCACGTGGTGCTCTAGTCCTTAATCATGCTAGCGTCTGACATCATCCTGCGGTCCCGTTGGCTGAACAGCAGCACCCTGCCTCTGCTTTCTGCCAGCGCGGACATTAAGAAATACATGTCTGCGAACAACGCCCGTTATCTTATTGAACTTCAACTCATCCCGAACCCTTGAATGCCAAGTATATCCTTCGCAGGAGCCAAGAAACGCAAGACGCGTCATTCCGGTTACACCTTCACAAAAGCACGTCAAGAACCTGGAATCACCATGCTCGGGCCAGCCGAGAGCGGACTGTTGCGCCTAGTCGATGAACTCCTCCTCAACATCATCGATCACGTCGAAGGCCAAGATGCGCTTTGCAGTCTCGCTGCGACGTGCACGCGGTTTCAAGGCCTCGTTGAACCCTACATCTGGCGCAAACTGGTAGTCTTGACAGGAGGACACGCGCAAAGGATTGCCACGGCACTGGACAGCCGGGATAATCGGACGGATTATATCCACGATCTGGCTATTCGCTACAAGGATGAATGTCGCGAGGGGATCGAGGACCTGAACCACTACCTGAGTTTGATGGGTAGGCTGCGTCATCTGCATGTCGAGAGCCCTTGCCCGAACAACTTGGAATGGCAAAACGGCATCTACTTCGACGGATACTCAAGAATCGATTACAACAACTTGCTTGCAGCAGCAGTGTATCCACGCGCAGGCATACCAATGACGTTGCCGATGCTGCAGTCGTGTAAGTCAAATGTTTCATGACAATGAGCCTGACTAACGAAACGCAGTAACGCTCCACGCGCATGGCTCGGGAGACAACAAGTTCAAGTTAGGTCGCGCTGTTGCGATGTTCAAACATCCAACTCTACGACATATCACGTTGTCGTGTTTGAACTTTGACGGAGATCTCCAAATCTCCGAATCAGAGAAGAAGACAACATCCCTTCAGTCTCTGACGCTTATCGAATGCAACGTCAGTATTCCGTTCTTAGACAATGTCCTGAGCCTACCCAAAGCTCTTAAGGACTTGTCAATCGGAGAGCGACTGCACGTCTTCCAGGAATGCCAACCATCCATGGATCCTGAACAACGCACATCCTCATCTCGATTCCTAGTCGCACTACAGAAACAAGCACATTCATTACAGCGCTTGACACATTGCGGTGGTCACGTTGGCTATCTGACCCAGCGCGATACCGACCCCGAAGGCGCAGAAAAGCTCCGCTCTCTCGTCGAGCTAGAGTACCTCGAGCTAGGTTTTGAGTCACACCTCTACTACTACCTACGACAAAGCGGCTTCCCGCCATCCCTCAAGTCTCTAAAGATGCTCGACTCCGCCATCTCCATCAACTCAGGCCACGACCTCCGCTCGCTATCCGACATCGCCTTCCGCTCCCTCACCTCACTCGTAGACGTCTGCCTCCCAAGAACACTCGCAGACGACTTCATACTGCACCTCAAATTCTCCGACCACTCCTTCTTCCGTCTCTTCGAGATCGTCGACGCAACAGAACAAGCTCACCTCCTCAGCGCCCTCTTCTTCGACCGCGCGGCTACCTACAAGATCGCCACCATGCTCAAATCGTACAGCACAAACGCCCACTTCATTGTTTCACGAGAAATGTTTCCATCAGGCAAATCCTTCATTCCACCGTATATGGAAGGCGAGGAGCTGCCTGTCGAGGAGTTGATGTATACCAGCGACGACTTTTGGCGCTTCAACGGCATCAACTACCGCATTATGGATGATGAGAATTGGAGGGATGAGCTTAAGAAGGGGAAGAAGCTGGTTGTTTGTAAGAGGTGTCGAAGCAGAGGGCTGGGTGTGGATGAGTGTCGCAGTCTGGGTGATGGGTCTGCTTGCATTCCTTGTAAGGGCACCGGGCTGGGAGTGTGCGAGTGGGAGCGAGATGAGAGTGGGGAGTTGGTTAGTGCTGGAGATGCTAAGGCGGAGTAAGTGGAGAATGTCTGGCTCGTTGGCTTTGTCAAGATCTGAATTGTCACAGGCGCTGCTTGGTGATGTAGTGGTAAGCGGTGCCCAATCAACGTTGGGCGGTCAGCAAGGTCTACGATGACATGCCATCACCGGAGTTTTGGCCCGAGAAACATCCTGTTTATTTCAACCAATCTGTTCTCTACATGGCCCGTTTTTGCGCCTTTCCACCGATTCAAGAGGGGATTCGAGTATCATCCGTCGCGTTGGTTTTGGGCGAGTTGTGAGTGGCTCCCCGGCTACATCTCGGCATTTGGGTCACCGCAGGTACCACGACAAACCGGATGGAGCTAGAGTTAATGTGGCTTCGCGCGCACAATAATTGTGTGAGCTAGTAGCGAGGAAGTATATATGACGGCTCCTCGTTCTCTCACTTCTGTAGTCCTACATCACAACGTCTTGATATCACTTCACTCGGCATATTGAGAAACAAGTCGCAAGACTCAGCGTGAAGGAAAGACTTAAAGTACTAGGGTCAAGACTCAGGGTATCTACCGCAAGAATTGCTGTGCCGAACGCAAGGCTCAAATTACTACGCACAAGACTGGAAGTACTTTACCAACGAGGTCGTGAACATTCGTAATCTCCGCACAAGACTGAAAGTATTGAGTGCTTGGTCAGAAGTGTCAAGCCGAAGACTGAGAGTATCAAACGCGAGGCTAAGAGTTTCGACGCCGCTATACGCAACATGGATATGATCTCCTACACCAATGCAAGCTCTGCAGCTACCCTGCAAAGCGGCTTACGGGCCCCCGCAATGAACGCTGAATCCCAGACGCCATCGCACACCTCTTCAAACTCCGGTCCGTTGCCGGGCTATACATGCCTATTCTCGCAACTATCAGGGGAGCTGCGAAACCGCATATACGATTGTATCGTAGAAGATGTTGGTTCGTCTACCATGCACGTACACTACAATCCTGATCCAGCAATGCCATTCCACGAGCGATATCCAAAGCACAAGTGCATGGGCCTGACACAAGTTGACCGTAAAACGCGTACAGAGTTCGCGCCCTTGTATATCAACGGTCATTACTTCCACTTCTCCCAACTAGCTCACTTCTACCGTTCAGGTCTCGCTGGCAAGAACGATGCATATCCCGCGCTAGTCCGCCTCCTATCCATGATCAAAAAAGGACGGCTTAGACAACCAGCGGCAGTGGAGTTCGACTCGCCAAACCCAGGTCTCGACGTAACACTCTTATTCCGGCTAGACCCGTATAACTGCGATGTCACAGGCCGCTGGTTCCTCGACACAGAATACAAGAGCCACAAGAACGGCCTTATCACCGGCGTTCTATGCCGCATGCTCGCATGTCTGCCGTCATGGTACCATCTGTTGGCGCCCGGAGCCATCACAAAGATCAGCATCTCGAAGTCCAGCTACCGGAGTGGCAAACCGTTCGTCCTCGTTACGGTGGAGCTTGACTCTGAGATCGCAGTCTCCCGCGCTGCGATCGTGCATGCGCTTGTTGAACGGGCGCTGGCCGCAGAGATGGATTTCTCGATGCCTGACAGCGGACCGGCGGCGTCGCACAATTTCTTGAGGGTGAAGTGTGTTTGGAGAGGCGAGAGGTGTAGGGAAAGACGCCAGTGCAAGGGGATTCGGAGATCATGAGGCGGATGACGAATTGTGGCAGAGTGAATCTGGAGACGGTTCGGGAATGGGTGACAATGAATGTGGATTCCAGTCATCGGGGAAGAGAAGAAGCTCCAAATGCTGCCTAATCACTCTTCCAGATTAGTCTGTGTGCGCCCCGGGTACCTTATAATTACCCCTTCTAGTCTGCTTCTTACATACACTGTCTCAATCAACCACTTAAGAAGCGAGCTCAACTGGCATAACCCAACATGGATGTCGATACAACAATGAACGATGCCTCCGATGTTAATGTGGTGTCGCGGCTTCTGGAGCTGCCCGGTGGTAAGCTCGACGTCGTATTTGCTCTGAGATATATGTATACTGACCTACGGCGAAGAACTGCGCAACCATATATACAGCATCATTGTCGCCGGAGAAGCAGCTCATGGAGTCAAGCTGCACCGCAAGCGCCGCGGCCGCTCCCAACACTCAAAACATTCTCTGAGAGACCGTCACCCTAGTCGCCAATTCCTCGGCCTTGCTCAGACGAACCAACTATTCCGCTCCGAGTTCTGGCCGCTTTACACGAAAGCCCACCGGCCTATCATTAACATCGAGGAGCTTGCCGAGTACCTTGAGGTCGTTCCGCACTCTGACGAATATATCAATAGCTCTATTATCACGACTTTGAGAGGCGTGCGCCGCCTCAAGACCCCCGACGCCGTTGACGCTCCTGGTATCGACATTCGGCCTCTTTTCTGCATGAAGTGGAAATCGTTCCCATTCATCGTTACCAAACGGTCCACGCATCGGTATTGCGACGAGCACGAAATATTCCATTGGCTTGTAAACACGAGCTGCCGCAGGAGCCGGACTTATAACAAAGTGCTCAGGGATAATGGAGTCGTTGCGATCTATTTGCATCGACGCCATAACGCCGTTGGCGTGTCTCCTGCGGTGGAAGACGTTATCACAGTACGCCTGGGCGACCTCGTGAACATGAGACTTAGCGGAGACAGAGTTAGCATCTTCCAGAGTTTCGTTGATGCTACGAGAACACTCCTAATATTCGGTTCCTGGAGTCACGTCGTGATGGAATGTACTAGCGGTATGCAGAAGATGGTTGCGAGAAAGGGACAGACTATTCTTGTCGAACAATTGGAGGATATCTCGGATGATGTGTGAGCAAACGCGTTACCCAGAGAGCGATTGCGATATCTTGAGGAGAAAGAGATGTGATGAGTTAGCATGTTCATGGAGAGTGGAAGTCTCCGATGCCGTGAAGGCCGACTTCTGGTAGGCGGATGGTTGGTGGACACGTATGATAATGATGTTGTTTGTCCACTTCAGGTGCGATTCTTACCGCTATGCCACTTGCACTGTCTACAGGGCCAGATCGGTGACAACATTAGTGACAAATAAGCCAGACCTGATCGGTCAGGACTCTAGATCGAAAATGAAGAATAAAGTGGGGACAATAGTCATGATGATGAAGGGTATATTGACGGAGACCCCGTCGTCTAGTATGCTCACCATGATACCAGCAATGATCGATCACTGCCGCGTCCTGCGTATGCCTCCCTACTAAAGCCAATCGCAATTAACAGGCGATCTCTCAGCATGGGCGTCCCGAGAAGACACATGTCCGCGTCAGTGATACACTTCATCAGCGGGCAGTATGGTACCGCAATCCAAACCGTGCTCATCGGAAGGTGACGCGCGAGCACTTTTTGCGCGATACGCGATAGATGTCCAAGACGACTGTATCGGAAGAGAGCAGCCGGCTTGTGGTAAGGTCTCGTGATGATGACGGGAAGAGCTTTGACGAGAAGTTTATAGAATGGGTAAAGAAGGGCGTATTCGGTGAAGTGTACACCGATTAGTACTATATCGTGGGTGGCCGCGATCGACTGTTTCTCGATCATGCACTAAGGTCTTCTAGAAGGGATTGGCAGGTACGGAAGGCGGTGGAAGGGTGTTCGAGTACGAAAGCTTCGATGCTAAGGCAGCATACCCTCCGTGTGTGCGCTTTGAAGAGGAAGAAAGAAAATCGTCGTGCGCTGCTTTGAGTAGTTTGTGATGCTCGTCATGCGTTCCTGTAGTATCGTCAACGTGCGCCGTATCGCAATTTCTCGACCACAAAGTCTGTGCGATCTGTGAATCACCTCTTGGCTGTTCCTCGCATTCGGTGGTGCTGCGGTCCGACTGGGGGTTGAATCGCGATATTAACGTGAAGGAACTTTCCGAGCGAAATCATCAATGTGTCTGGGAGCGGAGGGGTGTCCTCTACGATAAGCGTTGTCGAAACCCCATTTGACAACAGGGTGCAGGATGCGAGACCCCGAGTATTTGTTCTTTCCAGAGAACAGGCGAAGTGGCGTTTAGGAGCTAAGGAGACGTGAGTTGAACGGTGCGCGTTGGACTAGTGGCGACTTCCCGAGTTCCCGCGTGCAGTTCACTCCTCCTTCCCTGTGCATCACTCGCCCAGGGCCAGCGGCAAATGCAAACATGAACCCAACATCAGTATTCCATTAATGCGCATTAACGCTCATTTACCGCCTTTGAAAACAGTAGTCGTCCAATCTTACATCAGGCGCGAGTTAGTGTTGCTGGTAACAGCTGCGGCCGTCAGCCTCGTGTACTGCAAGCCTCGCAGGCACAGCCTCAGCTGGCTCTTGGCTCACGATGCTCACCTGGGCATGATATCACGACCACTTTACTATACACAATGCAACTACCGTGATTGCGCTCCCAGGATGGTACGCCACGAGACGTCTAGAGCGTCGGTCGCACTGGTGCTCAGTGTGTCAACCGCGCGGAACCCCGCAAAAGCAACCACTAGCCGCACCTGAAGCTATCCTTCACACGCGCCACGCACGACCTTGGAATTGGCCCGACACGACGCCAGGCCCAAGCATCGGCGACCCCACGCGGGACCTCCATCAGGCTCAAGAGGCGCGGCAGATGGTTGCGATAAGCCCTGGATCGAGCTGATGGCTGCAAATGGAAGACTGCCGTGTGCATCAGCTGCAAGCTATACAGGTTAGCTTCTCACCTTGCCTTTCCATGTCGACACTGTCAGCTTTCTTTTCCTCCCTCCTCCTTGTTTTTTGGTCGGTGTGTATCTACACCCCTCTTCCCTGACCAGTTCTACCCTCGGGATATTTACATCGCCTCTCCTGCGTGCTCTGGATGCGCCTTGATTATCGTGTTGCTCTACAACATGATCCTTCGTCGATCTCGTCTTCTAAACCTCAAGCGGCCTAACGGATAGCGACTCTGGCGTCAGCGGCGCAGACCGCCTTGCAACTCGACAATGCCATTACCGTTCAACCAGGAATCATGGATCTGGTATACATGCGCTGTATGCATGATTGGGGCAAGACTGTGAGTGCAGTTTCCGTGCATTATCCCATTACGTCAGTCTACATTCATGATCTGGTTTCGCATTCGAGCATGCGGCTTAGCATGCGCTGCAATGCGCTGGCGGGCGACGTTGGATTACTGAGCGCATCGGTGCTCTGCCCTTATGCTTGCTCGCATCAACTGTCTGCGATCTTAAAATCATTATTTGCTCGTTGTACCATGTACATGCATTTACTGACCAAATTCGTCATGCAGGATTTCGCGAAAGATGCTCTTCCGATCTGTCAAGGGCCTACAAATCGATGACTGGACTATGGGCCTCTTCGTCACCGCCGCCTACACCGTTATGATTGTGCTCGCGAATCGGTGGCTGAAAGTCCAGTCGAACCTGGAACCGGAGGATTTCGACTTCAGCGCACTGACTATGGAAGAACTATCGAGACGACGATTTGGAAGCAAGCTCGTGGTTGTTGTAGAACAGATGCATATTGCCGTGATCTGGGCCTGCAAAGCATGTCTTTTGATCATGTACCATCGCATAACACGGACGGCACTCCAGAAAGAGAACATCGCCATCAAACTGCTCGCTGCCTATACAGTACTTGGATTCGTCGTTATAGAGGTCCTCTACTTTTCAGCCTGGTGTCGGCCTTTTTCCGCATACTACGCAGTACCTACTACGTCCTTCCAGTGCAACGCCTTGGTACACCACCGGATCACCAAAGCTGTATTCAACATATCCTCGGATTTGATCATGCTATGTATTGCATTGCAGATGCTCATCCGATCCTTGCTACCCATGAAGAGAAAGCTTATACTCTGTGGCATCTTCTCTCTCGGTATCTTTGTCGTGGCTGCGAGCATCATGAACAGCTACTACTCCTTCAGTAATCCTTACAAATCAACGTGGATCTACTGGTACGTCCGAGAATCCTCGACAGCCATCCTTGTTGCCAATCTGCCGTTCACATGGACAATACTGAGGGAACTGTTCGACATGGGTAACTTCGATGACACGAACCCTCCCCCATGGACCTATCACTCTGCTCGTACGGCTGGAGGTCGCAAAACGGCACAACTTCTTCACCATCAGTCCGCGACAACGGCCGCACGTACAGGAGTCAGACGATCTCCGAACAACAGTAACGGAAGCAAAATGACGCAGAGTATGACCATGGTTGCTTCAAACATCACAAAAGACCAAACCAAATCGCCTGCCATTAGCGATAGGTCTGATTTTGCAGAGAAGGATCTACTCCAGGAAGCCATCCAGTCTCATGACTTCGCGCCCGCAGTACTACGTACCAGTAAAGACGGTATTGTCGACATCGACCTGGAAACCGGGCTTGTTGAGGAAGTCAATGCGCGACCAGTCTCTCCAGATCACGCGCAGCAACGCAACAAGCTCGTCTCGGCCCCGCCTACGATTACCCAAGATGGTACTGGGGGCTTCTACGTCAACGACCACCCTATCTCACCACCATCGCGCGCGCATCTCGTCCTTTCGATGAGCGGAACACGGGATAGCAGCATGTCGAGCGCGCACAGGAGACCTTACAGTCCGACATCGAGTATTGTCAGTGGTGCTACAGGTAGTCGACGAGGGAGTGCATCGACCCAGGGTGGAGTGGCTGGGCACACCGCGGGGGGAGGCAGAAGCGCGAGAGATC